TGTGAGCTAACTCACACTAACTCATCTTAGAGGGAACACTGGTTAGGAGCACAGACTCTAATCTGGGAGAACTGGGTTTGATCCCCTGTTCCTCCACATGCAGCTGCTGGGTGACCTTGGGCAAACCACAGTTCTCTCAGAGCTGTTCTGTCAATGGCAGCTCTCAAAGAGTTCTCTCAGACCCACCTACCTCACAGAGTGTCTGTTGTGGGGAGGGGAAAGGAAGGAGATTGTAAACTGCTCTGAGACTCTGAGCGAATCTCCTCCTCCTCCTCCTCCTTTTCTTCTCCTTCTCCAATGAGCCTCAACTGGGAATGAGTAAACTGCTCTGTCTCTGTGCTCAGGGAGTGGTTGGAACTCTAGTTATACCAGAGGTGCGTTCGGGAGGAGTTCCTCAGTTGTGTATCTGCACAAGTTTCTGCCGTGAACTTCGTCCTTTGCAGATTTCTTCATGCAATGCATAATTAAACTGCGGAACTCGCTGCCTCATGATATACTGAGCGCCACTACCTTAGATGGCCTTAAAAAAACAGGCTGCTTACCTGTAACTGGTAATCTTTAAGTGGTCATGTGTGCAGTCACACCCATGGGATTATGCGCCTGCGCTGATCCGGATCAGCGCAGGCGCATAATCCCATAGATGTGATGCACAGAGACCATGAAGAAGATACAGATGATTCGATCAATCCCTGGACCGGTCCATCAGCGGTAGTCAGCCATGAGCATAACCTCCATGTGGGGAAGCGGTTTACTTCTGAGTAATGGGGGAGTGGGCTTTGACCTCAGTGCCCTGATTTTTGGCCTCCCCGGGGCATCCGGTTAGCCAGGGTGGGAAAGAGGATGCTGAGCTCAGTAGACCTTTGGTGTGATCCAGCCAGGCTGCTTCCAGGGCCTTGCACCAATCCGTATCGCTCACCTTCAGCCAGCCAGACTCTCGCTGTGTAGCCTCACTCACGGGTTGGTTTGTGGGGATACAGTGGGCGGGCAAAGTATCTGTGCCTTCCTAAACTTCCAGGTAAGAACGCAATGGAGAGCAGTGTTCCCTCTAAGCTGAGTTAGTGCGAGCCAGCTCACAGTTGTTTAGCCTCCGGCTCACACATTTTTGTCTCAGCTCAAGAAGGAGGGCTCCCGAGCAAACTGATTGATGCAGCAGCCAAATCGCTCGCTCACAACTTTGACTCCAGTCACTCACTATTGAAGTTTGGTCTTTATTTTAACTTCTTTTGAAGTTATTCAGCAGAGTATAAAAGAGTCTGAGTCCATGGTAGTTTTAAAATATAAAACTTTACTACAACCTAACAAGGGCAGGGTAAACAGGATGAAAAATAACAAAGAGCTTTATTTCTACATCCTCTCAGCTAGAAAACTTAACGAAGAGTAATGGAGACTGGAGCTTCTCCTTGCTCAGGGACAAAGAGCCATAAAATGCTAAATAGTAACACTCCATTCCCCAATCAAAACAACAAACTTGGTCTGTATCTGGCGGGCTTTCTAACTCTCTAAGCAGATAGGATACAAACAAACATGTGATTCAGAACACAGCATTAACCCAGTAAATACTGAATAGAAGTGTTCTAACTTGTAACTTCCAACACTCACAAAGTAGAATTTTTGCTCCCAAGATTCCACAGCCTAGAGGGCGCACGGGCGGAGAGGCTGCCGACCTGAGCCCCGGAGTCGCTACCGGAGCGGGAGGCTGCTCATCGGAACCCGGAGCCTCAAAAGTTGTTCATATAACAGCAACATTTGGGTCAAGGAAGGCTCTTTCCTTTGTCTTTTCCGGAAGCATTCTGGGTGTCCGCCGCGTTCCCGACACTTTCCACGCCCGCTTCTCAGCCTTGTCAAGGACCTATGTTTATCGGGTGGCTACAGGCTGTTCCTACCCATTCGAGATGCCAGTCTTCGAGCAGAACCTGTGCTGGGCAACGTGTAGAGGGTGAGTTGTTGAAACAGAACTCAGTTTTTTTCAAAAATACCATCTCTTCCCTTTCCTCTTGTCCGCTAACTGATGTCTGCCCATGACCATGAGCCACGATGGCTTAGGGGAACCTCCAGACTCAGAGGCAGTGTACCTCTAAATACCAGTTGCTGAGGGGAAGACCACAACAGGAGAGGCTTTGGCCTCTGTGCCCTGCTTGTCAACTTCCAGGAGGTCGACCACTGTGGGAAACAGGATCTGTTCTAGGTGGATAATCGGCTTATCATTGGGAAGAGGTCACTTGGGGCTATTCTGCAGTCTCATGTTTGTTGCTTGTGTGTCCCTATTGCTTCAGGGGTTCCCCCCCCCTTTTTGCACCTCTTTTGCTCCCTCTAGTGGTCGGTTTGATATTACATTGCTGTGTGTCCGGTGTATTTCCTGGCACTTTAAATCTGCAGGAAGCAATGCCAAACATAGAGAAGTAATATTGAATCAACCACTAGAGGGAGCAAAACATGTGCGGAAAAGAAAAGAAAACCCAAAGCAATAGGGGAACACAAGTGACGAAAATGAGGATGCGGAAGAGCCCTTGGTCTAAATACCTTCATCTGTCAGCATCATGGGGCAGATATTTTCCCAGCCAGAGGTCCCAGAGCTGGTTTCCAACACCACCAGTTAAAAGATCCCAGACAAAAAGTGTTAGAAATGACTCTAAATGAAAAGTTTCCGAGTCAGTTTATACTGTTAAAACCCATAAACAATCGGACACCATCTTTTAGAAAGACGGTTTCCATACGGAAGGAGCAATACCCGAAAACAAGACGGGAAGGCCGGCATTGGATAAGCAATTAAAGCACTTATTGTGAAGAACCTGTGCTGGGCAACGTGTAGAGGGTGAGTTGTTGAAACAGAACTCAGTTTTTTTCAAAAATACCATCTCTTCCCTTTCCTCTTGTCCGCTAACTGATGTCTGCCCATGACCATGAGCCACGATGGCTTAGGGGAACCTCCAGACTCAGAGGCAGTGTACCTCTAAATACCAGTTGCTGAGGGGAAGACCACAACAGGAGAGGCTTTGGCCTCTGTGCCCTGCTTGTCAACTTCCAGGAGGTCGACCACTGTGGGAAACAGGATCTGTTCTAGGTGGATAATCGGCTTATCATTGGGAAGAGGTCACTTGGGGCTATTCTGCAGTCTCATGTTTGTTGCTTGTGTGTCCCTATTGCTTCAGGGGTTCCCCCCCCCTTTTTGCACCTCTTTTGCTCCCTCTAGTGGTCGGTTTGATATTACATTGCTGTGTGTCCGGTGTATTTCCTGGCACTTTAAATCTGCAGGAAGCAATGCCAAACATAGAGAAGTAATATTGAATCAACCACTAGAGGGAGCAAAACATGTGCGGAAAAGAAAAGAAAACCCAAAGCAATAGGGGAACACAAGTGACGAAAATGAGGATGCGGAAGAGCCCTTGGTCTAAATACCTTCATCTGTCAGCATCATGGGGCAGATATTTTCCCAGCCAGAGGTCCCAGAGCTGGTTTCCAACACCACCAGTTAAAAGATCCCAGACAAAAAGTGTTAGAAATGACTCTAAATGAAAAGTTTCCGAGTCAGTTTCTATTGTTAAAACCCATAAACAATCGGACGCCATCTTTTAGAAAGAAGGTTTCCATACGGAAAGAGCAATGCCCGAAAACAAGACGGGAAGGCCGGCATTAGATAAGCAATTAAAGCACTTATTGTGAAGAATTAAACGAGTTAGCGCCGTTTAAACGAAATCCAATAAAAATCGCAGCAGCTGCAGTAGGAAGCAGCAGCAAATTAACCCTCAGAAGCTCGCGGAGCTGGTTGCCAGATGTATAACAATTGTAAAATAAAGAGAAGGTTTTTAAAAAAAATCAAAAAAAATCTGACAGCAACAATTTAAACATGCCAATTTCAGCAACAGCAGAAAGCCCCGATCTGTGATTGGTAAGTGCTTGAACAGACAATGAAGACCTGGTTCGTGCGTGCACGAGAATCGTCTGCACCACTTCCGACTGTCCTTCGCCCTCCACTCCACAAAGGGGCTTTGAATGCCCCTTTGCCTGTAAAACTCCCTGCACATAGAAAAGTAGCACATCAGGCAAAAATATGCTACCCCTCCTCCTGGCTTTGAATGCCCCTTTGCCTGTAAAACTCCCTGCACATAGAAAAGTAGCACATCAGGCAAAAATATGCTACCCCTCCTCCTGGCTTTGAATGCCCTTTTGCCTGTAAAACTCCCTGCACATAGAAAAGTAGCACATCAGGCAAAAATATGCTACCCCTCCTCCTGGCTTTGAATGCCCCTTTGCCTGTAAAACTCCCTGCACATAGAAAAGTAGCACATCAGGCAAAAATGTGCTACCCCTCCTCCTGGCTTACTCTACTGATTTCATTTTCCCCATAAGGGAGCAATTCAAAGAGTGGCCCTCTGTCGCCCTCCGCCCTCCACTCTACCACTTTTGCATTCTCACACATCTTGATCACATGTGAGGCCGGTCACAGGGGCTGCGGGGGAGGAGACTGATCCACACACAAGGTGCCACGACCGAAAAGGCCCCGCGTTGAGTGGCCGTCCACCTCACCTCTGAAAGCAGGACCACACGTCTAGGTTAACTGCAGCACTGCTCTGGTAATATCTCCACAGAGAAGCCACCTAGGTAGAATCATAGAATCAGAGAGTTGTAAGGGGCCATGCAGGCCGTCTAGTTTAACCCCCTGCTCAGTGCAGGGTCAGCCTAGAGCAGGGGTGTCGAACTCATTTGTTATGAGGGCCGGATCTGACATAAATGAGACCTTGTTGGGCCGGGCCACGTGCGTCATAAAATGTAATGCCAGGTAGCGGAGATATAAACTTTATAAAGGGCACAAACACAAAGATATTTTTTTTTACTTAAAATAAAATCATGCTTAAAACATTACCACTCTGTCAATATTTCGTTTATTTGACAGTGTCTGATAACGGACACCTCTTGCTCTGAATTATTGCATCAAAGTGTGTGTGCTGTCGCAATCTTGAGTCTGCTGTTCAGGTGTGTACTTGTAAGCTGCGAACCGACAATGACGCAGCAGCAGCAGAACTAGAAAAAGAAGCAGAAAACAGCCAGTTCCACTGCGGGCCTCTGGGGGCTGCATGTTTGACACCACTGGCCTAGAGCATCCCTGGCAATGGTTTGTCCAGCCGCTGCTTAAAGACTGTCAGTGAGGGGGAGATCAACACCTCCCTGGGCAGCTGATTTCACTGCAGCACAACTCTGTCAAAAGGTTTGTCCTCATATCCAGCTGGTATCTCCCCGCCCTTAATCTAAACCCATTCTTTTGCGTCCTCTCCTCTGCTGCCAACAGGAACAGCTCCCGGCCCTCCTCTAAGGGACAGCCCTTCAGATACTTTGAAAGAGCCATCCTGTCCCCCCTTCAACCTCCTTTTCTCCAGGCGGAACATTCCCAAGTCCCTCAGCCTTTCCTCATAGGGCTTCTTGGTCTCCAGGCCCCTGATCATCCTCGTC